TCTGTTCCAGTGATATATGTGTCTGTTTTTGTGCCAGTACCATGGTGTTTTGATTACTGTAGCTGACAAAAGAATTTTTGATTAAAAAAAAGATTTGTACAGGACAATTAAGTAACTATCTATTACCCTTCCTTTCTTTTTGATGTCAGACTCCTTTAAATTGTACTGTATGTTTATTGCCAACTTATTTTTCTTCCTTCCATTTTTCTCTACAGTCCCTTAAATATGACTCCTATCTTACCATCTTTTTTTTTTAATTCCTCAGGGACTTACCAAACCCCCAAACCCAGGTCTCAGTCTTCTTTATTTCTTTGTACTTCTCAGCACAGTTGGCTACTTTCTCGTTCTTGAAATTCCCTCTCTTGGTTTCCATGAGCTGCACTCTATGAGATTTTCTTCTGTCTCTCCAACTGCTCCTTCTCTGTCTGCTTTGCTGATTGTCTTCTACCTGCTCCTTGAGGTGTAGTTTTGCCCAAAGCCCAGTCTTAGCACTCTTGAATTCTCACTTTACCCTTTATCCCTTTACGATGTTTTCTGCTCTCGTGGATTCAACCATCATCCCTTTGCACTGATGATTTACAAATCTATCCTTTATCTCTGCTCTGTCTCTCAAATGCCAGGATCATAATTCTAACAGTTCATTGAATCGCACATGAATCTCAGATTCAACATGTGCGGCCCTAACTGTTTACCACCACAAGCCTGTGCTCCCTACATTGGGTAATGGCATTACCACCCTTCAGTCACCATGCTCTAAACTTCACAGCTGTTTGACACTCTCCCTTCTAATCGTCTTCAAATTCGTAAATTCTCTGATTCTCCCTTTTTTTCTGATTCTCATTGCCAGGCCCTCATTGGGACTTGCTTTTACAACTTATTATTACCACCAACTACTACTTGATCCCTAACTTTAGCTTCCATCTCTCCTCTCCCACCCCCAGCAGCCTGTGTCACCCTCCCAGAATATGAATGTGCTCATGAAACTCATTTGCTTGAAATATCTCCTGGTTCCCCTTACATATAGAATAACTGACAGTTGCGCCCAGCAGGGCCACATCTTTATTTCTTCCCTTTCAACCTTACGTCCTATGATACTCCAGTCTCCCTTCCATCGTGCACAGTCTGTGGATCCCTGATATTCCTCCATCTCCTGGACATACCTGCCTGCTCCCGGCCTGGGGCCTTGGCTCAAGTCTTTTCTGCTTGAGCTGTGTACTGTATTGAATTCCTAATCATTCCCTGCATCCAGGCTCAGTTCTCACTGCTAGCCAATAACTCGGATAAGGGTCAATGAATTAGAGGTAGTTTTCGTCAATAACACAGAAGCAACAATGCAGATAATAGCAGTAGCTCACGTGAATCAAGTACTTACCTACTGTGCCAGGCACTGTCCTCTGTGTCTAACCTGTACAGATGCTTGTGTTCTTCGCAGTAACTCCTCACCTGACATCTTCAGTGTCAATGTGGACGTGGATACAGACTGACCGCACTCTTGATCCCTTTACTCCAGCACCAGCTAATGTTGACTGAGAGCTTACCATGGGTCTTATCTTTATTCCTTTATTTAAACTTCATAGCACCATAAGGCAGGTGCCATTGTGATACCCATTCTACAGATGGGGAAACTGAGGCACACAGAGGTCAGCCAACTAGCAGGGTCACGGAGCGAGTAAATGGTCGGGCTGGGCAGTCTGCCTCCATAATGTGTGGCTTCTTTCTGTGGTGTGGGCCGATCTGCCTCTCCAGACTCTGAGAACCCACAGCACAAGGGCTGGGTCATGTGGGAGCCCATGATTGGGTTAACAAATTGTAACAGACCCTTCTGCTTGCCAAAACCCCCAGGGTCAGGCATTGTGACATGCCCCAACACTGCCCAGCACAGGGCCCTGTATACCAGCAGCCAACACTGGCTTATTGACTGAAGCTCACAGGTACAAAAAGGTGCAGGAGGGACATTATTTCACAAGAAAACATCCTCTCCTCATTGCAAACCGCCCAAGGACAACCGTCTCCCCTCTCACAGACCCTCATGAATAAATAAATAAATAGAAGGTGACTGAAGTGGTGAATATAAAGCAGTGCGGTATGGTCATCTGTAAAGTTTTGGTGAAAATATTCAATCCCAAAGTGTTAGTGCCCATGATGTAAGTAACCTCCACTCTCCAAGACAAGCTCCCAAAGAGCCCATTAATGATATGGACACAAATCTCACCTCCTCTCCTCCACACCTGCCCTAAAGTGTCATTAATAATGAGAAATTTGAAGAATTTATAAATGGAATTAATTAACGAAAAAAATGATTAATGTTCTTTAGGATAAAGGTACCTAAGAGGCTGTTTAATCAAATCCCCTTGTCCCCTTGAAGGCAGGTTTGTTGTCTCCCTGCTCTTCTCTATTACAACTCACTGGTGGAAGACAGGCCACATCTTTAAGTGCAGTGAGTGGAACCACCTCATCATCAGGGCAGAGCTTGTCTATGAGTGAGGTTGAGCCATTCCATCCTCGTTTAATGTCTTTTTTAAAAGGGATGATAATAATGGTGGTCATGCAGGTAAAAATCGGATAAATCATGTGATGCATAGGACCCATGGTTAGAAGCTATTCTTAGTATTCAGGATATTAAAAAAAAACTATTTTTCTCTCCAGGAAATGAATGGTCCCCATGCCCCCCACCCCTGGGGGACAGACAGAGCAATGCAGGGTGAGGCATAGCCCCTCCAGTCCAGGTTGAACTTCCAACCCCTGAAGTTCACTCACTCAAGAGAAAATTTGCAAAGTTTTCAGGATTTTAACATGTCCTAGGGCCCCTGTAAACACCTCTTGAAGAACCATAAAGCCCTCAGTCTGACCTGGTTCTTAATTTGACCCTTCTCAGTGGGAAACAGGAAGTTAGAGGAGAGACAGGGTGGGAGGAGAAGGGAGGGAGATGGGGTGTAAGTTCCCCGGGGCACCGCTGTAGAAGATGTAAACTCCCTGGTCTTCAGCACACGCCCAAGTAAAGGGCAAACGTGCGCCTTTGTAGGGTGCCTGCAGCCAGAGGTGGACGATGCATGCTCCACAATTATGTGCAAAGTCCAAGGAAGGGCCCCTTGCACTGTAAGCGTTCTTGGATACACTAAGCACTGGCAAGTTCTACACTGTTACTACAAATCTGGAGTACTTGTTGCATCTGCAAGGGACAGGTTGGGTTTCTTGCAGCGGGCACTGCAAACCCAGCCCCCAAATCCCACTACCATGCGCCTCCCGGAGCCCAGAAGGCTCTGCTTCAGCGTTGTTGCAAAAACCCAGAGCAGGCCGTCCCCTAGCTAATGATTTCATCTGAATCACTGGATCGTTGCTTCAGCCAGCTGGGGCTGCTGGGGACCTCACGCTTTCTCCAGCCCCATCTCTGCGTCTCTCGCTCCGGGGGTACTAAAAGCAACAGAGCTGCGCCTGTCAAGGGCCAGGCGGAGAGACATGCTCCCAACACTGCTCCTGGGCTCGGAGGCGAGTGAGGTCTGGTTCCTCGCCCCTCCCCAGCCCCAAGTCGGCTCGCGCAGTGCAGCAAAGCCCCTTCCTCAGGGCAGTCATCCCGCCCGAGCAGGGCCTAGTCAGCTAAGCCACAAGCCGGAGCTCCAACTCCCCCAACCGGCGCGCCCCCGCCAGGACCCTCCCTGCACACACCCCACAACTCTATGGCCACGCCCCGGCCTCAGGCGCCCAGCACTGCACCTGCAGCCAACACACTGTAACCCGGACCAGGTGCCGGAAAGAGGACCTGACCCCGCCACTGGCCCCACATCTAACCCCGATGAGGGCATTCCCGCGGATCCAGCTCAGAGTCAGCTTCATCCACAGCACTCAAGACGGGGAGCCTGGGCTCGGGGGCAGCCTTGACGATACTATCACTGCCTGGAGTTGACGGAGACTGGGAAGGACTGCGTGGTCAGTGCTCGGACCCGTACAAATGCTTTGGCAAAGTCCAGGAAATGTCCTTTCCTGGTGAAAGGCGAGTGGACAGGACGCTGCTGCTGTTCTCAGTTGCAGTCCTTCGCCTCCCTATAGCCTCTCCCTTTCCCTTTCCCCCTTTTCAGATATGAAGCCTCCCCAGATCTCAGGGATGGTAGCGGGAGAAGAGGAGGAAATAAGGTCCGAACAGGGGCGGGGGAGGACGAGGTGGCAGTGGCCAGGAGCCTGAGGGGCTGAAGTCTGGGGACAGGCAGCATCACCTCTACTGCATCACATTTACCCCTTTGCAGCTACAGATGGAGAGCCTCTTACACCACACTGGACACCCCCATGTGTTCCCTGTGTATGAGGCTTGCTCCTGGAGGTGCCTAGTTCTGTTGTTTCTGGATGCCTCTGGCCCTCTTCCAGAGTCCCTTCTCTCCTTTTCATAGCCCAAAGCTGCCACCAGGGCCCCCTTCCCCAGGACTCTGGGGTGGGGTCAGTGTCTACTAGGCATCAAGGTAAATATTTTCATGCAGTATTTAAATCCACCAAGTAGGGAAACTGGCGAGAGACTTGTTCTGTAAATAACGTTTTATTGGAACCATTCATGAGGCACGGTGAAGCAAGTACAGGGTCAGATGCTACCTATGTTTAAATTTAGGTAGTATTTTCATTATGGATTATTTTTGCACTAATTTTGATACTTGTTAAATACTGCATTAAAACATTATTTATCTTGATTCCTGATTTTTTTGGTGCCACATTAAATTTTGTACAGAAGAGGAAACCACCCTCTAAAGCAAGCCTTGAGTTGGATATTATAGAAAAGTATACTGGGGTAGGGGGCCTGAGGGGAATAGAAATTTTAAAACAAGCATGAAATAACATCTGTATATTTAATTTCATCCACATTTCCAATTACCAAACATTTGTGGCTCCCTCCCCTCAGGAAGGAGCTTGCAATATGCATGAATGAGACCGAAGCTAGAATGCAGGTCAGTAAACCTGAAAAAAGCAACTTGGCAGGGCAGCCATTCTAAAGCCTGCTTCAGGACTTGGACACCTTGTCCTATACATGATTGGAAAATAAGTTTTAAACTTTGGGGGCTTTAATGGGTAGTAAACGGGATGAGTAAATTCCAACTTGTGGAAATTGCCCATTACCAATGGGAACATGAGTTCCCAAGGGGGAAAAAAATAGAACCACTTTTCCTACACCTGTGCTGCCTGTCTATCTATGTAAGTGTATATAGATATACTTTCTTCCAGGGTGACAGTTTTTCCAAAATGTTTTTCCACCAGATTCAGATTCTTCATAGCACATCATCAAGAGCAGTTCACCAAAGGCCTGACAAATGAAGTGAATAAATGCAAACTGCATCGTGTTTTTATAAGGCACATTTTCGTACTTTCAGTAAAGATGTGAATTCCCTCGTATACTTGTTTTTGTGTGCCAAGTGGGGTATGGGTAAGAATCGCTAAGGAATATCAAGGTGGTCTCTTTTCATGAGGTGACATCCCTAACTCACTGTCAATAGGCCCTGCACTTCTCAGATACATACATGTACAAGACAGGGTGGGGAAGGTCCCTACTGAGAGAACAATATGTTGCAAGACATGGTCGAGCTCCATGATGAGAAGCTCAGGCACAATCCTGGACTCTCAGGAATCTTCTTAAGAAGCCCACTATTCATAGGGCTTTATCCGAAGTTGGCATCCAAACACTCACCTAGTTTTCTTCTAGATGCTCCAAATTCTGTTCACTGCTCTCCCTTCTTGCGGAGCATATAGGGGAATGGAAACCATTCTGGCCCAAAGGAACTGCTGCTTCAAAGTAAACACAAGAGGAGATGCCATCAACGCCAGAAAGAGGCTCTTCTCCCTTTTCTCCCCTCCCCCCACCACAGAGGCCATATTATTGTGTCTTCCCAGCTAAGAAGTGACAGTCATGTCTTCAAATGTATTTTGTCTCATTCAGCATCCTTGAGAGAACCCTGGTTCCTGATGACTAAACACTAAAAGGGAACCTTTTGGTTTAGTGCTGCTGGAAGCAAAAGGGATTCCCCTGATGAATATTCCAGATTAATGAATCATTGAAAAGAAGCAGTGAGACCTTGGATTTCTTTAAGCTGTCTTCCTCATGTGAAACTGTCAGGCTAGAAAACGAAAATAAAAATGAAGTGTGATAAGAACTGAGGAATTACTGTTAAGTATTAGGCATTGTAATGGTAATGTGGTTACGTTTAAATAAGAATGTCTATCTTTTAAAGAAACATGCTGAATTGTTTATAAATGAAGTGATATCTGGAATTTGTTTCAAAATAATTGGGGGCTGGTGGCAACTTCCCACAAGTTGATAATTATTCAAGTTGGGTGGTGTGTATATGGGAGATCATTACACTGTTCTCTATACTTGTATATATATATTTGACCTTTGCCATAATGAAAATTAAAGAAAAAAACCCTGGTCATTTATGTTTCTTCTTTTCCTTTTTCTGGGCTTTTTTGCTTTCCTTTTTGTATCTTCATCTGAAAATTTAAAAATATTAAAACTGAAAAAAAATTTACCTCTAAAACCTTAATACCTTTGACCAGATAAATATGCTTTTGCGATCCCATTTATTCTTACAGAAAAATTCATTCATTCACACATTTATGCTACAAACCATGCTAGACATGAAAAGCATAGAAATTAAAGTCACACTAGGTATTTGATGATTTAGGAAATATTAATTTACTGGGTGAGATAATGGTATTGTAGTTAAGCAGGAACATGTTCTCTTTTTAAGAGTTGCATGCAGAAATATTTAGCATCGAAGTGTAGATGAAATTTGTATTTTACTTTACATACCTCAGCAAAAAACCTGTATTTTTAAAAAATATGTCAAAATACTAATAATTGTTAAAATTGAGGTGATATGTATATGATATTAATTATACTATTCCCTTTACTTTTCTGAATGTGAGAGTATTTTCCTGCTGTGTATTGCGGGGGATGCTTTCCAGGAGCTCAATCTAATGTAGGAGATAGAGATAAAGAGGTAAACAGAATCCCACTGAGAGAAGGACGTGGGTGTTCTGGGCACACAGAGGAAATCTCAAAATCAGGCTGATTTGGGGAGGGTGGTTGAGGAAAGGTTGACCAGGAAAAGGTGACTCTTAAGCTCATTCTTTTAAAATCAGTTTTTTTACAAAAATTCGGCATGCCACTGTTAAGATGAGTAAGCCAAGTCACAGGCAAGGAGAGACTGGCCTTGCAGGCAGACGGACTCTCTGTACCAAGTAAGAGAGTCATGAGAAAGGACGTGCGATATGGAGGAGACAGAATGTCATCCTCAGGCCACAGAGGATGCTGCAAGAGAGCGCGGGGTCTGTGTGATGAGAGAGCTCAACCAGGGTCTGAACTTCACCCTGAAGGCCACGGAGAGCTACTGAAGGATTCTAAATAAGGACCAACACGTTCAGATTTGTGCTTCAAGAAAGCTCAGCCTTCCAGCAGTGAGGAAGAAAAGTGACAATGGTGGCCAGGAAACCCAGGTGACATCAGAGGAAGGGGTGCCTCTGTGTAATGTGTCCCCAGGAGACACCCTCTATCAATCATCAGCTGGGAGAGGGCACAAAAAGGTGGTTTTTTGGGATGCATCGGCCCCCAGGGGGTGTCTTCCATAAATCAGCTGCCAGCCTGACGGCTCCTCTGTGGTGCGGCTTTCTGAAAATTGTACAAAGTGCAATTGCCCACTGAGTGTGAGAATCGCACAAAAGAGCCACTCCACTGGGCTGATGCAGCCCCTATGACTTGGTTTGGCACCACACGCTTTGTACAGCTATACACAACCAATCTGGAGCCGCAGCACCTAGGTCTGAATCCCAACTGGGTGACCCTGGGTGCAGTATTTACAACCTGCTCCGAGCCTCCCTTTCCGCATCTCTAAGAGGTGAACTACAGTTACTGTGTGGATTAAATAGCAATAGTGCATATCAAGCACTTAGCAGGGAGCCCCACACAAAGTCGGGAGTGTTCAAAACTCTTGGCTATTATTGTTTTTAAGAACCTTCCTCTAAAATGAGCCTTGAAGAAGTAAAAATAGTTTTGAAGCAAGGCGCGCAGAACGATGTTGGCTTCCTTACCACTGGAGTCTGTTTCAGAATCAGAGTCACTGTCACTATCGTCAGAATATTTCCTGTGTTTTCTTTTAGATGATTTTTTCTTCCTCCTTTTCTTGGACCTTTCGTTTGAATGAGTAGACTTCTTCTTCTTCTTGTCGTCTACATAAAATACGAAAAAACAACTTCCAAAGAAGTATTTCTGAGCATCAATTTTATCGCATTTGAAATACTGGAAAGGAACTGATGATGGCAATTTGAGTAAAGTCTAATGTTCAACTATTTACAAACTTCTTAAACTCCTCAATAAAAAATTTCCATATTTAAAAAATACCTTCTGAAGTAGAAGCTGAAGCGGTGCTTTTCTTTGGCTCTTCATCCTCTACTGGTGTATGTTCATCAGAGCTGAGTTTAAAGAAAATGGTTGTGAGAATCAGAAAAGTGATAAAATACGGACCATGGAGTATAAAAATACAGACTTAAAACTTTTCAGTAACAAACTGATTGTCCAAGAACCATTAAGAGCCAGCACCGGACTGCTTTTGTAACAGTACAGTTTAAGGGTCTACCACCTTCATAATAACATAATAATCATTTTTATTTGCATAATGCTTTAGAGTTTACAAAGTGCTATTCACACTGAAAGCAGGATGTAAGATTTATATTTTCAGAAGAAACCATAGGGAAAATGCAGGGAAACAGGAATCATAAGGAAAGATGAAAGAAACTGGAGATAAGAAGGCTGAGGGAAGATTTGGTGATTTTACTCTTCATGTGGAACAGGCATATGGTAGAGCAGCAACTGTTCTGTCTCCCCAGAGCAAGAACCTAACACACTACAGTGTAAAGGGATTTCATCCTGTTGTAGAGAATTCCGAAAATGAGTATCATTAACATGCTACAATAGTTTAGAATGGGAATTTCCATGTCATATAATCTTTTTCTCTGAAGTCACATCTAGAATAAAGGTATTGCCTAGAAAATTATATTTAGGGTGACTTCTCTAATTCTATGATTTCAGGTTCTTAAAAGAATATATGTAAGAACAAGTTTCTGATAATAATGCTTTATCAACTTGTCACAAATTACAGGTTTATCTGTCAAGCACACTGTCTCAACTCAACCTAAAGCAGACACAGAAAGAGAGGAAAGGGAAGCAGCAGCTAATGAATAGCACCAAACAGAAAAGAAATAAGGAAACAGAAGAAGCATTAAGCCTTTAGATAGTATTGGATATAGGCAAATTAACTAAAGAAAACCATACCAGCACATTCATTTCAAAAATCCCTTTGTAATGCTAAAATCTGGCATGCATCCTGCTATTGGGTTAGTTGAGGAAAAAATAATTCAAAATGAGATAAATGCATATTTGTTTTAACACTGAACCCTTCTATGAATAAGAAATTAGTACCCCATGAATTATAATTTAAAGAGAACAAGTAGCATGCTGAAATCCACTGGCAACATGTTTTCTTATGTATGTTCCATAGCTTTAAAATTTAAGGGATATAAAAGGAAAACTCACAAGAAAGAAGAAATATGTGAAATGTACTTAGAGTTCTTCACTTAATAAAAAATTTAACAATGGGCTCTGGATTTAACAAATGTCATATTTTTAAAAATACATTTTTTAAAAGACTTACTCTGGTTCAAGATTATATTGTCAGCTAGGGCTGCCATAACAAAATCCCACAGACTGGGTGGCTTAAACAACAGAAATTTATTCTCTCACCGTTCTGGGGGTTAAAAATCCAAGATCAAGGTATCATCAGGGTTGGTTTCTAGTAAGACCTCTCCTCCTGGCTTGTAGACCCCCAACCTTCTTGCTGTGTTGTCATGTGGCCTCTCCTCTGTGTCCTCTGTGCTCAGGTCAGGGGAAGGAGGCGGGGGGGAGAGAGAGAGACTGGTTAATTGAGATCTCTGGTGTCTCTTCCTCATCTTCTAAGGACACCAGTCCCATTGAATTAGGGCTGCTGCCTAATACAGTCACTTTGAAGGTTAGGGCTTCAACATGTAAATTTGGGGGGCAGCCAGTTCAATCTATAACAAGGATTCTTTGGAGAAAGTCCTCATGCTTCAGGAGCTCCCAATTCTCTAATCCTCTCTCACTAACTTTCCAGAAGATATGTGAATGTAAATTATAACTTGATGACTGAATTCTGTTATTTATATGTATATATATTTTCACATTCAACAAGTTTAGTTATTCTATCCTCCCTTTATGTTTTAAACTTTAATAAAAACTTGGTATAAATGTAAACTCAACACTTAGGATCTGGTGTTCTGGTAGTTCTATCAAATGGCACAGACTACAGACAGCTGAGATGCCTGGCCAGAAATGCAGCCTGCGAGGCTGTCAAGTGTGTCCCTTCTGCTGCACGCATGACACAGCTCCTAACTGCTCATTTCATCCCCTGCAATACGTGACAGAAACAGTTTTACATTCGGAAATAACTTCATTTGTTTATGCATATTTATGAAAGGAAAAAGAAGTCTGTTCCAATTTGGTTAAAACTTTAGTTTTCAGAAACCCAAGAATTAGTAAGGACAACTTTTTAAAATGAAGCACTAGAAGAAGTAGAAAATAAAGGGAGCTCTGAAAAGTTCTATGTGACAAAAGTTGTATTCAATGAAATTCAGGGTTTGTTCTCTCTCTTGTTTTCCCTTTAGTTCCTTTTTAGAATAGGAGTACATTGTCTATCTGCTCTTTGGAGGACATTAAAATTTTTTTTGTTTTATTGTAATGTTTGTCATTTCTTCTATTTAATATTTGCTATTATTACTCATAAACTGAAAAAAAACTAACAGAGGCTTAATTCTCCCAACATTTAGCTGCTTTTGTCTCTGTTTTAAAAAATACTTACAAAATAAATATATTTGGTTTCATTGTTTGAATAAATTATTTTTTACTTCCTTATTCAGGGGAAAAGGTATTATAACTATACAGATTTGGACTCACAGGGTCTCTCGCTCCCAGAAGCAGACACTCTAAAAAGTAAACATACAAATAACAGTCCTTGAAATATATAAGTATAGGGGTCAATGATGCCAGCCAGGCTGCAAAGACACAGAATCCTTGTGGTGCAGGGCCTAAAATTGAGGCCCAATGTTATGTACTACCTGACATCTGGGCAAACCAGTAGGGCCTCCAATGGCCTAAATGCAGATTCCCCTTCCCACTCTGCTCTTGCAGATAAGGTCCTCTAGCCAAACAAACCTCTCTATCAAAGGGACAGGAGCAGTTCCAGATTAGCCCTGCAGAGTGGATCTTCTGTGTCCAGTGTCAGGGGTCCTGTGTTCAGCTGCCCCATAACCCAAGAGAGGATTCCCTCTCTCCCTCCAACAGGGTGAATAGGAGACCATTAAAACAGTCCCGGCTGCTATCTGCTTTCATCTGGATTCTTAAGATAAATTATTTATCTTCTACATGGACAAATGCAAATTTCATCCAAGCTGTCCTTACACCTTTTGGTTAAGACTCTAAAGCTGTTTGGTTTCTGACTGACACAGATTGGGGAGACCTTTCTGAAACACATAACTTGGAGAAGTAGTTCTCCAATATAACTCAGGACTATTTTTGCTGTTCCTGCTCCCAGGTATGAAACCCTAATAGCTAAGACGAAATGTGTATTATGTTCCAGGCACTAAATCATTACAACAACCCTAAAAATGTCAGCACTATTTTTATCCCCTTCTTTATAGGTGAAGAAGTGAAGCTTGAAGATGTTAAGTAATTTGACCAATGTTTTTACTTTCTTAAATTAACATTTGTTAAGTGGGGCACAGGGTGCTGGATGGTGAGCCAAAGGTCAGCAACAGACCACAAGACAAACTGAAATAGAACAGTTTACTACTCAGAGGTCCTGGAGGAAGTACACAGTTTGCTTCCAGGAGGCACACAAGGAGGTCAAGTTATCGTGCAGACAGAGAGTGACAGGATCTGGGACACATGCTTTTATTAGGATCTGTGGGTGGAGTGTTTTGGGGTCCCAGACTAGGGCGAGATTGGTCAATTTAAACCAAAAGAGCAGGGGTTTTGGTAAGCCCCATGGTGGTCTTTTCTAAGGGGCTCGTACAGCATACAGGTGCTAGGAGGCAGGGGAGACTGTAGATCACAAGGCCTGTTGGAGAAGTCATACCAGGAACTTACATTTGTTTGTGACTCTGTAAGTTGCTATCTAGGGCATGTGATTACATAAGGAGACCAGTGACAATTTAAGGTCCCTGCAAGCCCCGCAAACAAAATGGATGCTGAGGCAGCAATACCATGGAGTAGCTCAGGTAAGCTCTTGACACCCAAGGTCATACAGGTATTAATTAAGTGGCAAAGCAGGGCTTCAAACTCAGGCAATCTGAATCCAGCCACTATCCTCCTCCTCACTTCCCACTGCTGGAAAAAAATATCATCAAGACATCTCCCAACTGTTGTAATTTCAACCTGACCCTCAATGCCTGTAATGTTTGTAAATTTCTCGTTTTTAGCGCATTCACGGCACTTTGTAGGTATGAATACTTACTCAGCAATAATTACAACTTTTCCTTCTCTTTGTTAACTATTTTTCCCCTCCAGGACTCACTTTCATTAGAGGAAAATTGATCTCACCCTCCCCTCATTCCTCAAGGTCTGAGACCACTTAACAAGATCTTGCTCGAGGTAGCTTCATCTGCATTTATGCACATCACTTTTCCTACATTCATCCAATCATGTCTTGGGGGAAAGTTTTCTCCTCTTCAGTTTAAACCCTTAATCCCTTAATCTCAGCGCTCCCCAGCTCCCTACAAAGAATTTCCACTTACACATCCTGTTATCGTCTCAAACCGATCTGTTCATTCATTCAACACACTATGGTTGAGCTCTTACTAAGTGCTAGGCACTGCAAATTCTGTGATGAATAAAATCGGGCTCCTCCTTTCCATGAACTCAGTCCAGTGGAGAATAAAAACTTGCTCACAAATGATAACACAAAGTAAATAAATCCTATTCATATGTCTGAGACCCTTGGCCATGTCCACTGCCAGACCAGACGCGGAAGGGGTGGAGCGGTTAGAGCACCGTATGAAGGGGCTCAAGGGTAAGTGAGAATTAAGAGAGGGGCAAATAAGGCGCTGTCGTGGATAGACTGAAGCAAAAAGATGGAAATGGGCGTAAGGAAGGTAGAAAGCGAAATGCGAACAGTAAGAAGCGGGATGAGAGATGAAAAGGACTCTGAAGGCAGGTGGGATCCTCAGAGCGAAGGTGCAGCCGCATCACTCACCTCCTCCCAGTCCCAGTCCAGGAGGCTAGGTCTCGGCTCGTCGCTCCGGCAGCGGCGCGAGAGGCGGCCGCGCCCCGCAGACGAGGAAGCAGAAGCGGAGGGGGCGCCCCGCGGCGCCGAGGGCTGCTCTTGCGAAAGCCGCCGCGAGCCGCGAGCCGGAGCCGCAGGGCTGGATTCGGGAGCCTCGGCTGAGGCCACCTCACTGATGGCCGAGGCCAGTCCGGTCTCCCGGCCGAGAGCAAGGGTAGGAGGGAGAGCGGCGGCCCCGCGGGCTCGGGGCTCTTTGACGAACTATGATGCTTTCCCATCCCGGGCTGTGCGAGTCAGATCACCCGAGCCCTTGTTGCCGAGAAAAGAGGGAACAGTCTCTCGAGACTACAAAGATTTCGATCTCTTGGGCTCTCAGAACCCGCCGCGGGGCAACCCCCTGCAAAGCTGAAGCAACCATGGAAACCGTTCCGGGTACATCGGCAAAAGCCTTCCCCCGGCTTACGTGGCCTCCAGGCGACGTGAAAGGGGTGTGTGCATCGGTGTAAACAAGCCGCCGCTGCAATCGGTTCTGCGCATCTTTCCGGTTCCGCAAGAGGTTCGCCAGGTCTAAATTGGACCTGAGACCGTGTCTTTCTCAGCTTTGTACTTGAAATGACTGAAGGGAAGGATGACAAGCCACAGGATACATTTCACAGAGCGGCCGCATTGCCAACATAGTCAATTCTGCTTGTGTTCCAAGTGCTCTGTGTGTGTTCGTTACGTGTTATATACTATTGGGTGCTTACTGTGTCTCGTGTTTGTGTGTACGTATGTACATATACATAATATATGCACATATATGTGCATATATATGCCCATATAGAATATAGAGGAGTGGCTCAAATTGAATTACATATTTTTTTCAGAGTCTATCCTGAATTAAAAGAAGACTCTAAATGGAATGAAAAGGAAAGGCACAAAGTATTCAGTATGCAGCTGACAGTGTATTTATTTTAGTGTTGTCAGGCTTAGCAAAAAAAAATACAGTAGGTCTGTTTACATTTGAATTTCAGCTAAACAATGAATAATGTTTTAGGATAAGTGTGTGTCCCATAGAGTAATAATACACTATTAAATGACTATTTTTATTAAATGTGAGGACATAGCCACAATTATACCTCCTCTCTCCTTTCCCAACACCTCTAAAATTTATTCCTTATATTCTAAGGTTTTCCACTTGCTGTTTGAGAAAATGGGTTAGGAAGCAGCCCCTGATACCTGGAAGATGGCTAGCGCTCAGGCCACTTTCTTCTGTTGGACGTAAGCTCACAGAACCCCAACCTAAGTCAAAATCACTAGGTGACTGACAAAGTGAAACAAAACAAGACCACTTCATAGATTTTTCTAAGTGCAGACAGAAGGATTAAAAAAGTCACTGTGCCACCCAGAAAACACCAAATACTCCCTCTCTTGGCCAAAATAGGTGACTGCTACTTTACAAATTACAACTTTATTCTTGCTCTAGTCTGCACCCCCACCCCCACCCCTTGTAGATAAGATTATTGAGATGCCCAGTCATACAGTTGCCTCTGCTTTCTGACAGCATTTTATTTAGAGCAAACTCCTGCTTCCTTCAACCCTCTCCTAAATTGCCCAAATACTATAGTGGGTTCTTTCTCACCTTCTCTTACTGAAACACTCCACAGTTTGTTTGTTCTCCCTCCCTGCAAAAACTAATAAGCCCAACTTGTCAACTATGAGTATGTTCCTGGTGGTCTTTGGTTGAAGGGCATTGACGTGTTCCACTGCCTAGAATGCCCTTCCCCAGACATTTGCCATGGCTCTTTTCCTTAGTTCATTCTGTTCTTTGTTCATAGATCATCTTTTCAGAGAGGTCGTCCCTGACCACACTATTTACAACAGCACCCTCATCATTCTCTATCTTTTTATACATTTTTTGTCATAGCACTCATTACTATCTTATTTTATATTACATATTTAGATAGTATGTTGTATGTCTCTCCCATTAGAATCTAACTTCATGAAGACTGGGAGTTCATCTTGATGATGATTGTATCCATAATGTGTACAGCATTGCCTGGCCTAGAGTAAATACTAACTGATATGAATTTAATGAACAAATGAATTAATGGATTTTTATTGTATCAGGGTTTATAATAGTTTCACTCTATCACATATTCATAATCAACCTTGTTGTTTGGTCTTAGTCCTCCATTTAAATAGACTGGCTCACTGCAGAATGTCCATTCTTAATTCTTTATTTTGACTCATTTCTATTTTTTTAATTATTGAAGTATAGTTGATTTACAATGTTGTGTTAGTTTCTGTTGTATGGCATAGTGATTCAGTCATACATATATATTCTTTTTCCTATTTTTCATTATAGGTTATTACAAGGTATTGAATATAGTTCCCTGTGCTATAAAGTAGGACTTTGTTGTTTATCTATTATATATATAGTAGTTTGTAACTGCTAATTCCAAACTCCTAATTTATCCCTCCCCTCTTTCCCCTTTGGTAACCATAAGTTTGTTTTCTATGTCTGTGAGTCTGTTTCTGTTTTATATATAGATTCATTTGTATTATTTTTAGATTATATATAAAAGTGATATCATATAGTATTTGTCTTTCTCTATCTGACTTATTTCACTAAGCATGATAATATCCAGGTCCATCAATATTGCTGCAGATGGCATTTCATTCTTTTTTATGGCTGAGTAATATTCCATTGTGTATATACCACATCTTCTTAAGCCAATCATCTGTTGATGGGCGTTTGGATTGCTTTTATGTCTTGGCTATTGTAAATAGTGCTTCTATGGACATTTGGGTACATATATCTTTTCAAATTAGAGTTTTCATTTTTTCCAGGTATATACCCAGGAGTGGGATTGCTGGGTCATATGGTAGCTATATGTTTAGTTTTTTTTTAATTGAAGTATACTTGATTTACAATATTGCATTAGTTTCAGGTGTTCAGCAAAATGATTCAGATATATATATATATTTCAGATTATTTCCCATTATTAAGGTTCCATTCAGATTATTTTCAGATTATTTTCCATTCCATTAAGGTTATTATAAGATATTGAATATAATTCCCAGTGCTATACAGTAAATTCCTGTTGCTTATCTATTTTATGTGTAGTAGTTTGTATCTGTTAATCCCATACTCCTAATTTATCCCTCCTCCCTTCCCTCTCCCCTTTTGTAACCATAAATTGATTTTCTATGCCTTTGAGTCTGTTTCTATTTTATATATGAATTCATTTGTATTATTTTTTGATACCACATATAAGTGATATCATATAATATTTGTCTTTCTCTGCCTGACTTACTTCATTAAGCATAATATTCTCTAGGTCCATCCATGTTGCTGCAAATGGCAATGTTTTATTCTTTTTATGGCTGAGTAATATTCCATCGTGTGTGTATGTGTGTATACCACATCTTTTTTTTTCATTTTTTGAACTGAAGTTCAGTTGATTTACAATATTATGTTAGTTTCAGGTGTACAGCAAAGTGATTTTGTTATACATATGTTTATATCTATATTCTTTTGCTTTTTAAATTCTCTTCCATTATAGGTTCTTGCAAGATATTGAATATTGTTCCCTGTGCTACACAGTAAATCCTTGTTGTTTATTTTATGTATGGTAGTGTGTATCTGTTAATCCCATACTCCTAATTTATCCCTCCCTCCCTTTCCCTTTTGGTAACCATAAATTTGTTTTTTACACTTGTGAGTCTGTTTCTGTTTTGTAAATAAGTTCATTTGTATCATTTTTTAGGTTCCAAATATAAGTGATGTCATATGATATTTGTCTTTCTTTGTTTGATTTACTTCACTCAGTGTGATAATATCCAGGTCCATCTATGTTGCTGCAAATGGCATTATTTCATTCTTTTTTATGGCTGAGCAGTATTCCATTGGGGGTGTGTGTGTGTGTGTGTGTGTGTGTGTATCGCTACACCACATCTTTATCCACTCATCTGTTGATGGACATTTGGGTTGCTTCCATATCTTGGATATTGTAAAGTGCTGCTATGAATATTGGGGTGCATGTATTATTTTGAATTAGAATTTTCTCTGGATATATACCCAGGAATGGGATTTCTGGATCATATGGTAAGTCTATTTTTAGTTGTTTCTCCATAGTGGTTACACCAATTTACATCCCCACCAACAGTGAAGGAGAGTTCCCTTTTCTCCACACCCTCTCCAGCATTTATTTGTAGATTTTTTGATGATAGCCATTTTGACCAGCATGAGGTGATACCTCATTGTGGTTTTGATTTGCATTTCTCTAATATGTAGTGATGTTGGGCATCTTTTCATGTGCCTGTTGGCCATCTGTATGCCTTCTTTGGAAAATATATGTTTAGATTTTCTGCCCATTTTTTGATTGTGTGTTTGGTTTATTGATATTTAGATGTATGTGCCATGTGTATATTTTGGATATTAACACCTTGCTGGTTGCATCATTTGCAAATATTTTCTCCCAGTCCATAGGTTGTCTTTTAGTTTTATTGATGGTTTCCTTTGCTGTGCAAAAGCTTTTAAGTTTGGCTAGGTCCCATTTGTTTATTTTTCCTTTAATTTCTTTTGCCTCGGGAGACTGACCAATGAGAATATTGCTATGATTTATGTCAGAGAATGTTTCACCTATGTTATCTTCTAGGAGTTTTATGGTGTCATGTCTTACATTTAGGTTAGGTCTTTAAAGTATTTTGAGTTTTCTTTTTAATATATAGTGTGAGGGAATATTCTAATTTCATTGATTTACATGCAGCTGTCTAGCTTTTCCAGCACCACTTGCTGAAGAGCCTGGCTTTTCTCCATTGTATATTCTTGCCTTCTTTGTCGTAGATTAATTGACATTGGTGCATGGGTTATAGGTGGCTTTTTAATTTTAGATTAGTTTTTGCCAAGTTATGGGGTAAGCGACACGGACAGAAGGAAGAGAAGGTTTCCTATACTTTGAATTAACAGTTTTTCATCATACTTCGCTTGGGGGGTCCACACTTTTAAAGCCCTTTCAAGAAAGGGACAAAGGAAAGGCAATTCTGTCAGTAGCCTTGGTGCTGTTAATGCTGGTGCAAAAGAAATTGTATTGTGTCTTAAAATTTACTGACAGAAAACTATCAAATATTTGATATCAAGAGTGGCAGCTACTGCCACTGTGATCTATATTTCAAAGGTACGTCTCATTTTAGTTTTAGTCAACTAAGCTACTGAAAATAGATCCTAAACTTTCAAGATGTACTTTGTCCTTTTTCCTAAAATTTTTTTTTGGTACTAAATTTTGGGGAAGGTTGACTCAGAAAAATGGTCATTAATCTGCTAACTAATCGTGTTAAGTTGCCAAGAAAATACTACCATCTGTCTTAGTTTCTTTTACAACAGTGCATTCCCACTTCTCATGAAATGTCATTATATAAACAATGAAACTTTAATAATTTTGAGTCATAATCAAAAAGCAGTAATGCTGTAATTCCCACATAGACTATTTTCCCACGATACAAAACCTTGGAGAAATGCCTAAGGAATTTCATGTGAATTTCTTATCTCCATGTGAAAATACAGCTGTATTATAGTACTTTGATGTTTTACTCTGTGGCTTTACTTTACTGAGGAGAATGTAGAATGGATTGGAAATGGATAGATAATGAGTTCCTTGTCTGAATTCATGTTGAAGAAAATTAGATATAGTTTGATCTGTTTTTATTCTGGAATATCCCGATAGACATTTTCAGCAAGATTTTTGTAGGAAGGAAGCACAGGGACTCCAACTGAATGATAAATAGCTGCCAATTCAAGTTTCTGGAAACTGATGCAATATTATCCTATACATTTTTGAAAAAGAAAATGAAGGTAGTGAATGGCTCTAATTGTTGAAGAAAAATGCTACTATTTGATTCCTTAGTTGAATGTGATCAATAATCAGCCTAAAGGGAAATACTTTGTTCTCCAAACACCCATCCTGTTGCTTCATGCATCATGGGTCTCAGTCGGAAGTGTATCACCAGGGGAGTTTTTAAAACTACTACAATTCATTCATGTATTCATTCATTAAACAATTATTGAACACCTACTATGTGTCAGACAGTAAAGCCCTCTGAGGAGGAAATGCTATGTAAATGAAAATAATAAATAAACAATGTAAGTGTTAATATTATTTATCTTTCAAGATGTAGCTCAAATTCAGTTTGCTATTCCCTTCTCCGGGTTCTGTACCTTACAAATACTTTTGTCAATGTTTGTGTTCCTATCTACTGAACTCTTTTAAAAGGTAGAGACCTTGGCTTATTCATTTTTGAATTCCATAGAACCTAAAATAAGATTTGGTACAGATCAAACAGGTGGTCAGAAAATGATAGCTGAAATGATGGAATCAACGTGGTGTTGCATTATTTAGTATTCAGTTAAGAAGACAGTACTGGTCCAAAAACTGGATTTATTTTTTCAAAGTAGTTATTATTCATGTAGTTGTTATTGTGTTATTCTAGAACTTGAATTTCTCTAAATCATAAAGAGTCGATACTTTTTTTATTATATTTATTCCGATTATATTTCAAGGTGGTTTATCATCTAACAAACAGACTATTAAACAGCAGTTTCAAACTTGCTAAAGAAACGAAACCTTTCTAGTCTCTCAAGTTTTTACGCCCTAGAAGCTTACACGGAACGGAGGTGAAAGAGACTAGCTTCACTAGCATCCCAGCCGTTGGTGACCGCATTTCCCCATCTTTCCCTTTCCTTTTTCCCACCCTTTCGCCCTCCGGAAGGGGCCGAGCGCTCCCGGAGCTTCCCAGTCTTCCTTCGCCCCCTGCGGAAGGAGCCGAAGGCGGAGCGGGGTGCCGAAGCGGGGCCGCCTAGCGCTCGGGCCCCTCCGGAAAGAGCCGAGCGGCGCTCGGAAGGGGAGGGCGCCTTTGCCTTCGGCGCCTGGCCCCCGCGCGCTGCCCTCTGTC